AGATCGTTTGCACATGATAAACCGATAGCCGGAATATCTTGTCCAAATGATAAGAACAATGTTGCTGCTAGCAAACGGAGCACAGGGGGCGAAGGCGAGCTCAGTGAGGGTTGGTAGTTCCAGGGCGCTAAACTAGCGCGCCTTTGGCCACGAAGGCCACATCTCGCTTCTCAGACCCCTGACTACAGCTTCTATTGGTGCTTGTACTTCCATGCTTGCACACACTTTATCATAATCTCTCCATGTAAGGACTTCTTTACCTGTGGTGGAACTCGGTCCTATGCCCAAGAGATTTCTTCTGCTGCCGTTAATTCTACCCTCACTACGAAAGTGCACATCTCTCAATTCACGTCGCTAGTTAGCTTTAGCATGCAGGACAGAGTACTTGAAATACTTGAATGATACTTGAGATACCTACCTGCTTTCAATATGCGGTATTGACCATTATTACAGCTACCTGTAGACTTGTACAAAGGGAAACGAAGTACAAGGATAAATCTTATTCTCACCACCTAATTTGCTCACGCTTACGGAATTCACAACAGCGAAGAATTTGAAGGGTTCGTGTTTAGATTGAACCTCCAATTACTGAATAAATGAAATAAAATCTTGTCGTTTGAGAACTTTTCCGTTTATCTCTGTCGCTATTTCAGTTTCGTTTTGCTACTACGTTGGATACGTTATACTTGACGATTGGTGCAGCGTGTGCTCTAATTGGAGGTGCGATTCAACCGTTCGTTCTGATCTTAGGTGGATTCATTACAACGGTCTACCTAGAGCCTGGAGAGGTAAGTTCGCTGCGATTGCCCTCCTAGAGAAAGTCATTCGAAAAAACAGCTAATTTAGAAAACGGCCAACCAGAAATTTTGGAACGACGTCATGTTTTTTATTAGTTGGCTTGGAATCGCCGGTACATGCGCTTTATTGACATCCTTTATTCAGGTGCCACCTTTTTGAATATAAATAATTGTTCCCGTTGCCATGATCACTGTTGTTTAATTTAATCGGCATGTAGGATAACCCGTGGCGTTGAGAGAAATTTGTGTTATGCACTCATTTCGAGTTTATGCAATCCGTTAAGCTACCGCGATGTGTAATAGTTCCTGAAGCACTAAAAACTGCGAAATTTTAAAGACTCTTGAGATATTATTCACTTCCCAGCGTGCTGAACAAGTTCTCTTTTCACCTGTGCTAATTGCCCATTTCATCGAATTGGCTGCTTGTCAAAAAACCACAACCGTGGCCCATCTCTCTGAACAACAAGAACAATTTATCAATATGGTTTCCTAGGTTTTGAATTCGGAAGTGGTGTAGTGGCAAGTGGCACGCTTACCACGCGAGCGGTCCGGGGATCAAATCCTGGGCCAACCAAGCCTTCCATCCCTCCGGGGTCGGTTAATTGGTACCAGACTTGTCTGGGAGGATAAAAACACTGACTTGTACATCGGCTGGCCCGCAAGTCATTGTATAGGCCACATCGCATTCAAACGCCACTACGAATGTACAAATGGAAGTAGAATGCGTGCCGCATCCCAAAAGGGATTGATCAACGGCAAATGCTTTATCCTTTATCCTTCCTCGGTTCCACCGTAACCATGTTGCACTAGGGTCGATAACATGTGGCACTACGCACGCGCTTACGGTAGAACCTAGGAAACCATACTGAGAAATCGTTTCTGCTGCTAAACATAGCGTCACTGGCAGCAGAGAAAACCTTAAAACCGATGAAAGTCGCACCAATACGGAAATAAACAGGCTAAGTAAGGTTAGATTTTTCGTTTTCTCGATCGTTTACTATGGTTTTTTTCCTTCATCCCTACACCACTGGCCACTCTTCCTTGATTCTAACGGGCTACTTCCATGGTAGAATCCGCCTTAAGCATCATATATAATATATACTATGAGACCTCCGACAAAAGTCTCTGTCTGCTCCTCTCTAATCGTCATCAGTCTCTCAAACGTTCTTTGCCGTAGGCTCATGCACACTTCCGTGGATTTTCTGGGACCTTTTTAGAGCAAAGGCACAAGAATGCTGAGTTATGGGTGAAACTCTCGACTGTGAGCGAAAATTTTCATCTCACGTTCTCAATTCCAGAATTCAGTGCAGTCGTGCTACCGAGTACACCACAGGGACACTGCCTCGCCTTAATCATTCATAGCTCATTTGGCTTCCTCTTCATTAGCGGGTTACAAGGCGCTTACTGTTCAACATTCAGCCACCACTAACCATATTTTGGTGCCATGGAATGCGTCCTTAGGTGCCACAGGTTTCCGCATGACAGAATTTGCTTTTGTATCTCTCGCCCTTATCAGACTCCGAATCAGGAAAAAAGTAATTGGTGAACAGCACTGTATAGTTTGATCATCCTTGACCTCTTAGCAGAAATCGATAAGGAAGTTACAAAACAACTATTTATTCTCTCATAGCAAAAAGTGAATGGCTCCTACTGGGATTTGTTGTCTGGTGCGAGGTTTAGTGATAAATTTCGAAATTAGGCTTACTAGCAGGAACCAGGCCACGAGTGAACTTCTTGGGTTCGAGCCTACAGAGGTCATGCCAGCTTCTCCGCGCGAAATCCGCGTTTAGACGCTGATCGTTGAGGAATCGAAATCATCGCAAGGATCCGTACCCCCACGACTGAGGTGGAGATCAGCGTGCTCTCTCGAATGTTGAGCCTTCTCTGCCGATCTGACTCTCCCAACGTTCCACATTCGACCTCAATTTAGTTTGTCGAAGTCTAGGCCCTCGATTTCACGTTTTCGATGACCTCGCTAGCTTCTTTTGCACGTTCAATTACTCTGCAGCTCAACTATCACTACGAAGCACTTTTACCCATCTGCCTCAGGCCATGGCTTGCCTTTAAACTCATCTTCTGTGAAAAACCAAAATTCGACCCCATAAATCGAATGCTTTTCAGTCATTCTTCCTCCATCGTGGATGCCTAAATGTGGTAAACTCGCTTCGTCATCAGTACTTGGCTGCGGTATTGCGCCAGGATGCGACATGGTTCGATCAGAATACCTCCGGTGTCATCACTTCACAGCTGAATGAGTACGTAGGCTTTCCTGCAGCGTTTTCAACCAACAGTTTTGAATGCCACTGCCAGTAGAGTGTGCAGTACCGGGTTACGTATTACTATCCTACGGCCCGTGACATGAGTTTGTAGAAAGATCTGAGATCAACGACCAGGGAAAGTAAAAATTAGTCGCTCTCAAATATTTATTTCTCTTCCACTTTCGTTGCGCTTTCAATCTCGGACCTGTGGAATGAAAGATTTTGTCAACGAAACCTAGTCGAAAACCGCAGTTCTAACTCGGTTTTCCGCCAAAGGAAATCAATCAATGAGATGCCTGTTACTCATTCCAAGATCTTTCGAGCATTCGACTATTGGGATGCCTGAGAAGACACGTCATTCCTTTTTTTCCAATATTTGAGTTTTCCACCCGAACTTATGGTTACTGAACCGTTATCTTTAAGATCTAATTTTTTTCTGATCTAATTTTTTTCACTACTGAAGGTGTCTAAAAGTTGTGAAAATTCGGAAGAAGCCATGCTTGAGTTTGGAACACATGCACGTATTGTCACATTTTTTCAGGCGGAAGGGATGGGCCACGTGATGAAGTAATCCTAAAGTCCTAATTCTACTCTGTTCATAACAAAATTGACGCAAAACCTTTCCAAATAGAGAAAACAAAGGGCCTTCAACAAGTTTATAACATATGTTATCTGAAATTTTTGGAGAGTGATGTTTCGAAGAAAAAACTGCAATTTAAGAAACACTAGCTTAGAAGTTAGCCATGAAAAACAACTTGAAAGAGGTAACGTTATTGTTTTTGGGCGTAGTAAGAGTAATTTTTACACGAGTTAGTATGACATTGGGATTTCACTGAAGTCGTTTTCATTGAGAAAAAGCGACACAACTCATGGGACAACCTAATTTTTTCTATCGGGGCACATTTGTCCAAAAAGCCAGATGCAGCACGTAACTTGTTCAAGAGGATGAGGAGCGTGGGATGCTGATTTTTACGGCAGTGAATGTGACTTGTGAGAAAATCGTGGAACATAGAACTGCTTTGATTTACTTTCTCAACGACGGTAACAGTATACTTCAGTAACATCGCCCGAATACAGGATGGCATGGGCGACAAGATGGGCCTCCTTATTCGAGGATTCTCCATGTTCTTCTCATCGATCATCGCCTGTTGTGCCATTAACTGGCAGATAACCGTGATTTCACTCACCATGGGGCCGATTGCCACAGTGACTATGGCCATGTTAGGAAGAGTATGTTATCTATATTATAGTCTCTTATGTCTACATCACTATTAATTGGCCTTGTGACATTGCTAGAGAACGGAGCTGACTTCTTGACACTTTCTCTACGAGCCCACGATTTAAAATGCGGAATGGCATGAGTGACATTATAAATTCCCTCAACAGGATTACCCTTCTTCTTGTCGACTATATATTGACGTCACTTTCCCACGCAGAGGGTCTGGGAACCAAATTCCCAATCGAGTACGTAAAATCTTACCAGTTGGCCTGCGCCACGTATAGGCCCATCCACTTGGTTTTCCACGTTCCGAAGATGGTGGAAGGTGGCATACCCGACACTTGAAAGATTTTATCAACGACGAGTGCTCCTTTTCCGTCCTTCATCAGAGTTTTGAACAGGATTTGACAAGGGTCACATGAATGAGCCTCATACTTTTGCTAGTCCTGTTCTTCTCAAGTATTTGTACAAATTCAGGTGAACTCGTCGCCTAGGCAAAGCGATGAAAGTTACAAACAGGGGCTGCTTCCATAGCAGAAGAAGAGTCCGTTATGAATGTGAAAACCGTGCAGTCGTGTAACGGACAGGAAACACATGGTGATATTAATTGCCACTAATCACTGGGTTCCCTTACGCACTAATCTTCAGCCACTTGCTTTACGTGAGAGTAATGACTCACGTGGAGGTCCGAGGCAGAACTCTATCACTCTTTAACACATTGGTGGGTAACCGCGGGATGTGGTGCACAGAAGGGACCGTCTTTCTAGATTTTTTTTAACTTCCTTTACTCCCATCATCTTACATCTTTCGCTATTCATCGAATTCCCGCTGCTCGTGCGTTAAAACTTTTCAGATACTCTTTTTATAGTAGATTGGTTGACAATCGAATTACAACAAAGGTGAAGGTGCTGTGGTATCGAAATCATCATGAGCCAACCATGTAAAGACACGAAAGAGGAAATTAGAAAATTCTCACCACGAAGTGTCATTACTATCATTCTCGATATACTGTTGTGCAGGTAAACCAACACGGTTTTCATTTGTAATCCAACATTGAGCAATTCACATTACATGTCCACTTAAAGCCTTCTCGGTTCACTCTATATAAATGTAACCTGACAAATAACCGACAATAGCCAAATTTCTTTTGACAAAATATCTAAGTGTGATGCTCAGCTTTACTGTTTTCTAGGGGCGACACAGAACCAGAGCAGAAGAACGAAGTCGAGCCAATAACTGTGAAAGAGCTGGTAGGTCATTAAAAGAATAAAAATGTGCCCGATGGCGGCCAACTGTCAACTGCAGTTGAATTGCCATTTGCTGTACATAAGAAATTAGGAGCGGTCATTTGCTCCTTATGCAAGCCTTGCAATTCACAGTCTTGCAAAATTCAATAGATAGGGCAGCATAAGCTAGGCTTGGAAGAAGTCATGAACCTCTAAAGCATATCTTGCGATCACTCCAATAAATGGAGTCATGTACACAAAAGAATGCTATCTCCACAAGCGCGGAAGCTGTTCCAATTTTGAGGGGTAACGTTATCGAACAGGGCAGAAGCAGCCCCACCTGTGGCCTTCTCTAACTTACATTAGAGTTCATTAGAACGACCATTCTTTTGATCTCACCTGACTTGCCCTCCCCCCTCTTCGTTCTCCCAAATCAGCGCTAGGAATGAGCGCTATCAGAGTCACCGGAGTTTTAGGAGTTTAAAATTGCACTAGGTGGCGAATCTGCAAGCAAGCACATCCACTTCATTTATGAGGCACTCTCACTAACCAGCATGTCTTTAAAGCGAGGGATTACGATAAGCTTCTCTGGGTTCATAGTGGAAGTGGAGATGCTGAATAATGCCCCAGTGGCGAAAAAAGCAAAGAAATCCGTCAAGAACGCGCAAAATGGGACCCCATTCCCGTTGACTTCCTTTAACACATTGACGACCGCGCGCGTTTTGGCTTTTTTGGCCGTGTGGGACCGGGCCGATTTTGCGAGTGCGACCGCCGCACCTCGGATCCGTGAATTTTTATTGATAACTTTTTAAAGCACCAGTGGTACAAAAACATCTCAGTAACAGTCAATGCGTAGAAGGTAATAGAGTATATAGTGACGAAGTTCCGATTAAAGAACATGTAATGGTAATGAAAAAGGAAACTTTAGTCATTTTATCTGTAGTGGATGCCAAAAGCTCTTTTGATGTGGTTATACCAAGTGAAACATGTATTTTTCTGTCTCTTTAGATTTGCATTTACTTTCACTACCCTTTTTTATTGACGTGTTCATGAGAATAGCATGAAAACTATTAATGAACCAAGCCGCCGGTTTCGGTGAGCTTGGAAAACTTCTTCTAAACTGGAGCATATTTGAACAAACAATGACCTATGTCGTTCACAATAATGTTATGTTCTAATCCATAGAAGAGAGACAAACAATTCGGGAAAAAGCTGCGCATGCCCTAGAAAAAGGGATGATAAGGGTGAGACGCGGTAACGCGTCTCAATGTCCAACGAGGTGCGCAAAGTGAGACGCGTTACCGCGTCTCAATGTCGTCAATGTGTTAAGAGATGGTCAGTGATACGCGAAAGGAAGAAAAATACCAAGAAGTGGTTTAGAACCCCGTGAAATGGGGACCCTTCGCCACCGGTTGATTGGCGTTGATGCGACTCTCA